TTCAGCGAATTTTGACTTTGTGGTTAGAATGAGGCATGAGACGTACGTGAGGGTTGATTATTTTTTTACCTGTGGCTGTCCACATGCCCTAGTGATTTGTTAAAAGGCTGTGTTCCCACTACAAAAACCATTGGGATGTATTTGTAGGGGCCATTTACTGGGTCCTCTGTTCTGGCCCGTCCTTTGCGTGTCGTCTCCTGCTTCCAAAGCCGTCTTAACTGCCATAGGTACAGTTCTCCTGAAATAAGGTACAGTGAGTCTTCTCACTCTATTTTTAAATACCTTTACTGAAATATAATTAATGCACAAAATTAAACAAAAGAAAAAGAAGACAAAATAAAACCCCAAGAAACCTAGGTTTGGTCAACGCATTTTTAAGGCAACTTTCAGCTGCTTTGTTCCTGTTCAAAGCTGTTGTAACTATTTGAATTTTGGCCTTTCCGTGTGAATGTCGGTGCTGTTGTGCATCAGCATCTACAGAAATTCTCCCCAGCATTTTGCTGGGAATTGTGTTAAACTTGGATTTCGGTTCAGAGCAAACAGAGATCTTTAGTGTCTTGTGTCTTCCAAGTTCTGAGCAGTGTCTCCTGGGCTCTGGCTCAGTGATACGTTGTTTTGGACATTTGTGTGCTGTGTATTTGCTGTATTTTTACCTAAGTATTTTTCAGCGGCTATAAAGGGTGCTGTAACATCTAGATGTTTATGTCTGAATTACAGAAACGCAATGTTTTTGTGTGTTTATCTGGTGGTGTTGATCCACTAAACTAACGTGCTCCTGCAGGTTTCACACATGGATCCTCAGGGGTGTTCTACACAGGTGGCCCCATTGTTCGAAAATGGAGACAAATTTGTTTCTTCCTTTCTGATCTTGATCCTTTTTATTTGTTTTCTTGCTTAATACCAGTGGTGGGACAGTGTTGAATGAGAGGATTCAGAGCTGGTGTCTTGCCTTGTTTCTCGGAAACAGAAAAGCATTTGCTTTTTCTTCATTAGGTATAATGTTGTAGGACACAGGACCTCCCTCCCTCCCCATTTCCCTTTATCCCGGTTTAGAAAGTTACCTGCTTTCCTATTTTTTTCCGAAGTTTTTAAAAACTTTCATATGGGTGTTGCACTTCACCAATGACTGACTTTTCAAATACTGAACTAGCTTTGCACTCCTTGAATATGCCCCACAACCATTCATTTTGAATGTTGCTAAACTCTGTCTGCGCTAGCTGTTAAGAACATTTGTGTTTATATTTACGAGACATTTGCAGTTCTCTGTATTGTCTTTGGGTGTGGACTCAAGGTGACAGCAGCTTTCACAGATTGAATTGGGAAGGGTACCCCCTGCTTCTCTTTTCTGGAAGACACGGTGTAGAATTGCTGTGAATTAGTCTTTAAGTTTGGAGACATTATTCATTAAAACCAGGTGGGCCTGGAGACCTCTGCTTGGGGAATTTTAACAAGAACACAGCTCCCTCAGTAGTTGGTCCTGGCTATGCACTGTCACACTGTGTGCCTTTTGAGGATGACATTGTGGCACTTGCTGTCTCAGTCCCTCACTGTCTTGTGGGGTCTTCAGGGTTCCTGGTAATAAGTCCCCATCTAGTCCTGATCAGTCACTTCCTTTTCTTTGTCAGGTTTGTTTATTTTTGTTTATTTTTAGGTGTTGGAGATTGAACCCGGGACCTTGATTACCGGGCTACACCCCCCTCCCCCCGTCCCAGTGTTATCTTCATTTTATTTTGCTAATCTTTAAAAATGTTTTCAATTTGTTCATTTTTATTTTATGTTTTAGAGTTGCTTACATGTATGTAAGTATACCCCGTGCACGTGGTGCCCGAGGAGACCAAGGCGTTGGATTCCCTGGAAATGCAGTTACAGGTGGTTGTTAGCTGCCATGTGGGTGCTGGGAACAGAACCCGGGTCTTCTGCAAGAGCAGCTAGCGTTTTAACTGCTGGGCCATCTCCCCAGACCTTTGGTAATATTTAAAAAAAAAAATCACAGACTGGTCTTTGTTTCTGTTCCGTTGATTTCCGCTCTTCGTTTTCTTCTGTGTTAGCTTCACCTTGTTCCTCACAGAAGTTCTTGAGGTCAGAGGCCAGGTTATTGCCTTGAGACTGTCTCTAAGGTAAATGTGCACTCTCCATGTTCCGTTCAGTGCTGTCTCAGCAGTAACCCTTAAGTTTCCACACTGAATTTTCCTTTCCATTGAATTCAGTATATTTTAAATTTCTTGATGCGTCCTCTTTGGCCCATGGACTGTTAACGAACGTGTTTCGTTTCTGAGTATCTGACAGTCCCCTGCTAGCTCAGTGATTGATTTGTAGTTTATGTGTTGGTGGAGGACACATTCTGTGTGATTGTAATTCTGTGAAGCGTTTTGAGGTTTGATGGACTGGCAAATGGCCAATGGGCTTCCTGATGATGTTCTGTGTACCTTTGAGGAGAATGTGTGTTCTGCCCCTGTGGGGAGAGCTTTCTATCAATGCCAAGCCCTATTGGTTGCCGGTATTGTTGAATTCTATGTCCTTGTGAATTCTCCCCCGTCACCCTTCCCCTCTGTTCATCCCTTCCTCCCTCCTCTCCTCCTCCTCTCTCGCATTCATGTTAAGGATGGAACCTAGGGTTTCACGCATGCTAGGCAAACGCTGTGCCTCTGAGCGATCCTCCTAATCATCCTTGATAGTTTTCTACCTAGGACTCTGTCACTTGTTGAACGAAATGCAGGTGGACGTGTTTCTTCTTTCATCCATCGGTTTTCTGTCTCTCCTGTTCGGCACATACACCGGAGGGTCACCCTGCCTTCTTGGTGACTTGGCTGCTCCCGTGAATTGTAGTGATATTTCTATCATAGGACCGTGATTGTAGGATAAGTTCACTCGTGCTCCATCTTTAAGGTGCTGACTCTCCCCCTCTGCTGCAGAGACCCCACTGGAGTTGTGGTACTGGTTGTTGTGTTTGGGGGTCTGAAGCCTCCCTTTGGTTCTTCTTCCTGTCTGTTCTTTCTCTGCCTGGACTTTCCTGTTTCTATTTGTTTTCAAACCTACCTATTACTGTCTGTTACAGCATTTGTGTGATGGCTGTTTAGAAATCCTCAGTCGAACATTTCTGGTATCTCTGTTTATTTAGGTGTTGACGTCTATTGACTGGTTTCGCTTGGTTTGCTCTTTCCATGGTTCTTTGTATAATGGGTGACCTATTTTGGAATCTGGGCATTCTGAGTATTGACTCTGGATCTTCCTTAGAGCTGTGGCCTTGGGTGGCTTCCCATAACACTTATGTGGCAGAGGACAGTTTCTGTCCAACTTGGGTCTAAGAACAGGTTTCTCATTCACCTCTACCAACACCTGAGGGATGCACCTTCATTCTTTTCTTTAAAAGACAGAATTTCTCTGTGTAGCCCAGGCTGGCCTCAAACTTACAGTAGTCTTCCTGCCTTAGCCTCCTGGCATCCCAAGCATGTGCCTCTGCTACTGGCAGGTGTCTCTTCTTACTATGACGCGGCAGAGGTAGTTCCTGCTCCCTCCTTTTCTCACAGGGATGCCTTCCTGGGTTGTGGGCATGGGGGCGGCCTCATTGTTTCTAGGAGCATGGAAGCCCATGCTCCCTTCTCTGAGATGACGTACCTCATGCAGGGAGGGAGACTGGCTGCTTTCTGGCTGTCTGGGCGGTGGC